CATCCAGGCCATTGAGAACAGCAGCACGATTTTGACGTTCCGACGCATGGTTCCTCGAAGAATTTTCACTTTAGAAACGTCACAAATTTTCACTATAATAATCAATCAAAAAACTAATTAAACTATTTTATTAGTAACAGTAACAAACTTTTTTAAATAATTTCTTTAATCAACACAACACTATCTATAAACACTTCAGAAAACGACATAGGACCGATCAGCAACGCACGATAACCTATCACGGACTAACAACAACGGAACGGACATCATTCTATTTCGGCGGAAAACAGACTAGCACGCATTTTACATTCACTTTGGGAGTCGCCACGGTATTTTCAGGTTATGTTGCGCTTTGGCAGAAAGCGGAGTGGGTCTCCGACTGGCGGTCGGGGCCTGGCGGTGAGGCGAACTGACGACCGCGCAGTGGTGCTGCTGATGGACCTCTCGCTCTCTCGACAGAGTGAGATAGGTTACGGATGGTATGGGGACCAATTCACACTTGATGTTTGCTTTGAGGAAATTGAGATTGTGCTAGGTTCTGTAAGAATTATAAAATTATAAACTGATAAATACAGTTTGTTATCTTTATGATTTATTAAAAAAAATACTCTGAATTAAGATTATTTAGATAAACGTAGGAAATATTTTGAAACTACCTTTCGATTGCCTATCATTGTATATATATATATATATATATATATATATATATATATATATTATATATATGTTACGGTAAATGTGCATATTTCGGTGAATGTGCACATTTACCGGCTCATATGGCGAATGTGAGTTCAACTCGCGCACCTGCGAACGTGCTGCTGAAATACTAATTCATATATTTATATTTATATTTATTTTATTTATTTTAGTCATATGTATATTAATATCCATTATTTATTATTCACAATTAACTATTAACTATTTATGAATTAACAATTTATTTATAAACTATTAACTATGAACTATTAACTATTCAATTAATAACTATTAACTATTTACCCATTAACTATTACCTATTTAACTATTCTTTATTCACTATTTACTAATAATTATTTACTATTTCCTATTATCTACTCACTATTTACTATTAACTATTCAGTTATCACTATTTACTATTCGCTATTTTACTATTCAAATGTTTATTATTTACTATTAACTATTAACTATTCACTATTCACTATTTACTATTAACTATTCAGTTATCACTATTCACTATTTACTATTAACTATTCAGTTATTACTATTCACTATTCACTATTTTACTATTCAACTATTTACCTATTAATTATTATCTATTTAACTATCCATAATTCAACTATTCTTAATTTTCTACTTACTAATAACTATTCACTATTTACTATTAACTATCCATCTATTTAACTATTAACTATTAAACTATTTCGTTATCACTATTCACTATTCACAATATAACTATTCTAAATTCACTGTTTACTGATAATTACTAACTGATTAACTATTTAGTGCGCATGCGCCAAATACGCAAGATGTTCATGAGACCGATCCAAGTACGCACGTACACCATTATTTTATTTTGTTGATTGTTTGAAAACTACACATTCACCTATCGTTTTGGGGAATGTGCACATTCACTGGTTAATGTGCACATTTACCGTAACATATTATATACATATATATATATATATATATATATATATATATATAAATATATAAACATACACATACAATTGTTATGTTTCTGTTTTAAAATAATAGTTGCATTTGCATTGATTAAAGTTCTCACGCTTAACACGTTAACCGCCACGATAATATAAAAAAAACTACATAGACCATGGTAACTTTATTAGATAGGTCTGCTAAAAGTGTGTATAGGAAACATTCACATATTGGACGTGTTATTGCAACGATCCGACATTTTACACATAAAATGGAAGTTTTATTATGACACATCACAAAGGTGCAGTTAAAATAATATTAGTTTTTTTGACGTTTTTGCAATTTCTAGATTAGGTTTTATATTAAAACTTCTGATTGCTTAGCAAATGCATAGCATTTTATCAGCTTTTAGTAACAATTTATTTAAAAAAATTATTCTAAATTGTTAAGAAATTTGGTCTATTTTGCGGCAGAATAATCCCATTAATGAATCAAATATAAAACATATTTTGCCAAAATTTTTATAAAAATACTACTTCTTATGTCGCACATATATGACTAACATTCAAACAATTTATTTAAACAATTATTCTAAGTTCGTAAGAAAAGTCTATTGTGCGGCAGAATTAGCCCATTAATGAATCAAATGAAGAACATATTTTTGCCAAAATTCTTTTTTTTGTTATTGGTCAAGCCAGTTATAATTACAGCATTTTAACTTCTAAATCATTAAGAATTTATTTATGGATTTTACAACCATAATTAATATGACTTATAACTATAATTAAAACAACAAATACTACTGCAAATTTCTGTTGTGAACAAGAAATGAGAATACGAGAATGCACTTTAGAAAATTTTTAGTTGTGTTAAAAATAATAAGAAAATCTACATACCAACCAAAATTGATTAGGAAAAATTATTGGGACCAATATCACAGCACCAATAAACAAGGAAAACAACTAGAACTAGACTATAATATTACCTTTTCCTTGTACTGCATGAACCATATGGTGTGAAAACGCCTCTACACAGCCCCTCATCCCCAAAGCATTTCAGTTTCATTTCAAACAGAACAATGTTACTGCATTTCATATTACTGTGCTCTTCACTTCCTAGTTTACTGCATATAACACACAAGCGAGAAAGAGACTAAGGTATGGCGGTGGCGGTCACATAACTAAGCCGGTCGATAGTCCCCCATCTGTACTGAACTGTATTAGATGGAGCCACGAATTTATCCAGAAACATACCGTTTAGCAAATACAGTAGAATCTGTCTAATCCGACAATTTGATAATCCGACACCACCAGCGATCGAAGCCCTGGTCAATTTTGTGGAAATCAGCTAGAAATTTTTCCGGTATTTTCAGTATCTGACACTCTCTGGTGTTCAATAGTGTCGGATTAGCGAGATTTTACTATATTTGCAAGTGATCTATCCATTCTCCCAATCTAACAAAAAATATTCATTTCAGCTAATATTGCCAGAGATAAAGTCCCAATTTCTTCAATAATTAAAGTCAAAAACTTTGAGGTATCTTTATATAAGCGAAACCCATTCGAGCCAGGTGGAGTGATAGGAGATAGGATAGGTAGGGCCACGATATTCATCATTCACGAAAAACTATCATCTGAATCAAAGAAAGATTCATTAATGTATTTCGACTCAGAACATAAATGAGAGTAATTGTTGGATTTATAAAATCGGTTTAAGATTTCTGGCTAATACATGGACGAAAAGTTTTACTCCTCTCCGCCAATCATAAAGAAACTTATAGTTAGTCATTATCTACATGGCTGTTGAAATTTTGAAATTGCTTCAACCATTTTTCCGATACCTTCGATGGAAGGTCAAAAATAGGTTCACCTACACATAGAGTTATTCCAAATTTGGTCTCAAAGAATTCAGAATGACTTGAGCGCCTAGAAATCATAACATTAGTAAACTTCTTCTACTGCTTTAAAACGCTGTTTACCCAATTGTTACAAAGATTGGAGTAATCTATTCTTAGTAGATTTTTCATTTCTTCTCTGATGCCTGCAGCAGGAATCTTTGCAGAAAAATTCTCCTTGTCAGCAAACACTTTAATTCCCCAAATTGTTGTTAAATTGGTCCGTTTTGTCGGCTCATTAAAACTCAAAACTCTACAAACAGTTAAATTCAATAAAATAAATAGTAAAATAATTAATTCAATTGCAATAGTATTTATTATAAAATTTACATTATGTTCAATTATTTTCTTTTTATGATGATATTATCAAACAACTACACATTTTATCGATATATTCAATTAATTGTGATTTAGTTGATAAATATACGAAACAACAAATTCAATACATTAAAATTTATACACGATTATTAGATCATTTGGTATATATATGCAGCATGTTTATCATATTCATTTCAATAAAAAAATCACCGCACATAATTAATATAAATATTCCATCAATAATAATGATTAATTGTGGAATATCCAATTAAATAAAATTAACTACACAGTGAAAAAATAAAACTATTATTTTGCATTAAATTATGTTCGTGAAATATTATATATATATATATATATATAATATATATTATGTGATGTGGATTCTTTTATATTTTGGCAATAAACTAATCAATATAAATTAAATAAGCTATATATTAATAATATTTAGAAAAATTATTTTTGTATATAATTAACTTACAAATAAGTATGATACATGAAACACTAACAAAATAGATGGTGATGTTTATATTCAAAATTTTTATCATATTTAAAATTCGTTTTGTGATGTCAAAATTTTTAATGTTTATTTTTCAACTTTTACGTACATGTATACTGTTTTTGCAGATCGTCATCATAACTAACTACATAAATAAATATTATATTATATTATTAAATTTGAAAGAATTTCAATATTTGATTATGCAAAACTAATAATCAGCATTTAGTATCTACTCAATATTTAATTGTAACGGCAACAAAAATAATATAATCACAAAGTGACGCGCCGATCAGATCTTTAATTTAGTTTTCAAGTTGAAGATTATCTTACAATTAGACAAAAATTCTCCTACTTAAAAATTTTGTCTCATTATTAGTTTTTATACTTCATAGAGTATGATACAAAAGTAATTACAAAATGCTGTCTTGTTCATTCTCTATATTAAAAGCGTCAATAACAATAGGTATTAGACCTATTTTAGATGCGAATGGTCAGGATGTTCAAAAGTTATCAAATGTTTAATTGTTCTACGTATTGCCAAAATTCCTAACATATAATAAAATTATTTAAATATATCTCATTAATATCCTTATACAAATAAATCACATATTATGCTTAAGTACATTCTATACCTGTTCTCATTCTTTTACCTATTTCATCTATTAGATCTAGTCAAACTGATCTTCGATTCTATTAATTTCCTCACATAATACAATGCCGCAAAGGTTTTACCTCTGTTCAACCTTTGTTTCAACAAATATAAACACAAAAAGTTGCACATGATGAATATAATAATCAAAGCCATAGCATCATACCAAAATGTTACATTTGACATTCCCATTTCTTGCATGATGTATTTTGGTTTCTTGTACTGACAATAGATTTCTTCCTCAGGGCAAATGAGATCGGGCCTGTCGTTTCCATAGGTGGCATATATTAGCCCTTCCATTCCATAACGCATGTAATCTAAGGCCATGGCGATTTTTATATGGATGGGTATGTAGTTGGTTCCGGATCCATATCCGTAAACTGCCAAAAGCATAAGAGGTACAGATACACAAGGACCCACGAACATGGCGTTCTGAAAGAATAAATAAAATATTTTGGAATAATTGTGTGGCTGTGTTTAACCTTTTCGCTACAACAATGTTTTCCGCAGAAGTGAGACTGCTGTACGGTACAGAAAGGGGTCTAGTAGTAATTAAAAATTTATTTCTAAAGAACTAAAAATCACAATAACGCTCTTGAAGGATTTTAGTATCCTTCATCATACGGATGTAGTCTATGGATGACAATAGTACACAAATGAAAATATATGGATGTCATAACGACAAAGCGAAAAAGTAAAAGTTAAGAAACAGCTCATCTGTAATCAGTGCTTTGCAAAAAGCCCTAGAATATTTATAATGTATAAATACACTTACTCGTTTGCTTATATGTTCATAAAACATCAAACCTAGTTTTAAATATTTGGCATTTATAACAATTTAATTGGTAGAGTCTACCAATTAAATTAATATAAATGCCAAATATTTAAAATTTATATTTGAATTATATTTAAAATATTTATTTGCTTCATAGTCTACCAGGCAGACTATGAAGCAAATAAAAAAAAGTTTTTTAATTACCAATAAAGATTTTTAGATTATAAAATTTATATGTTTTTCAATGTCAAAACACTTATTCAAATTGATTGTAAAAATTTTATTTTACTTATTCTTGAATTAATAGATTATAATTATTTGCTCATAGATACATTGAATAATGACGCACTCCGATTTTTATATCGACGATATGAATTTTATTTCTTAAGAAAATTCAATAATGTCATTAAATCAATTGCTAAAAATGTTAATGATTAATTAATAAGTTTATTCTTAAAACTTGAAATGTTTCTTTGTTAGTTAGTTCTTCATTTGTGGAATAAATTTACGCCTAAAGATCGAGCAAAGACTGTATAACCAATGGTGTATTAATCTTGATATTAAATCATGAAATGTAATTCAAATCATTAATAATATTATCATAAATATTAGAATTGTAAATTAATAAAGATAATCAGTAATCGTGTTAAACTATTAAAATACAATTATCATCCAATAATATTAGTATACTTTATATACTAACTATCCAAATTTTACAATAAGTATCGTTGCCATTTAATTACTATCTCATTTGATTAAAATTTTTATATGAATATTTCACTGGATCGTTTACTACTAATGCATTTATTATATTTATCACACATTTATTTATCATTTCATATGGTTAATTGAGATGAGTAAATATTATTTTGTAAACCTGCAATTAAGGTATCGCATTGAAAGGCGATTGCCTCATATTTTTGTACTATTTATTTAAAATGAATTTAATTAAGTATCTATGTTAAAAATGTATAAAAATGTATACAGGTATAAAAATGCACAAAAACTTAAGAGCTTTAGAAAATAACAAAAACAAAGCTTACTAGCAATATAAATGATTAAATCATATGTTTGTCATAATTACTTTAATTTCCTTAGTCACAGAAAATAATATTATTCGTGATATTTTGATAGCACACCTAGTTTAATTAATTTGTATAAGTTTAATCGAAATTTTTGACCTGATGATCTGAAGACTTTTTATGAACACATGTACAACATTCAAATGATTCTTTTTATGTAAAAAAAATCTGTTGTTATTCTTATGTGTATATAATCTAATATAAGATTGTATATGCATATGTTTATATGCTTATATACATAATAATTGTTAGACTCCATGTAAAAATATTTGCTGTTATCTCTCATACCAGACAAATTGACTGACTCAATTTCAAGGTATCTGATCATTTGTTATTTTTAATAAATAAAAAATTTACTTACAATCACATTTAAGGTAGATCCAATAGCAACACCCATAGCTTCGGAAACTAGTGCCAAAAGAATGCATGTGCACAGGAACATTGCCGCCCTAGAAATCTCCAGAGGTTGCCCAGACAAAGTGTAAGTTATGGAGACGTAAACAACGCAGACAAAAAGTTGTAGAGGAAGCCTGGATAAAGTCATAGCCACGTAGTACGAGTTAAGGGAGTACCACCGGTTGAAATGTTCGCGTTTTAATAGTTGCACATCTGTTGGAACTGGAAATTATAAAAAAATATTAATGGAATTATTTATTCATACAATGCAACCAAAATTTTCTAACCCATTTGACTCACAATCAGTTCAAACAATTTTTATTAGATTTAGCTCAATGAACCAGGCTGAATCATGTGAACTGATTGTATGTGAAACGCGTTAGAAAATTTTATGTTATTTGTTTTTACTTTTTTACTCAAGCTAGTATGCTTGTACTAAGTAATAATAAGTATTAAGGATCATTGCCTGATTAAATGCGCAAATTTTTTATGGAACTTGCCAAGAAACTTTAGTACGTCCTTTCAGTCCTCTCGATACATTTTTTTAAAGTACGGTTACAAATTTTGAAAATTTTATATTAATGGTTTCACAAAAAGTCTTAATTCTAGCAAACATGGAGTAATCGTTATTATTTTTGACTAGCTTTATGTCTTAGAAATGTTTCTTATGATCCAAAGTTTAAATGTACAAGAATAATAAATATTAGCAATAATAACCGAAAAATTGTCACAGGTTGACAAAAGTTCCAACTTTTAAACTGCGTAAAATAAATTATTTTTCTGTTGTTTTTCATAATATTTACAATCTATACTGTGCACTGTTTTGGCTTTACATTAGGCTATATAATTAGTATTACACTCTTAGCGTAAGGCAATGATTGGAGATTTCATGACCATGTGTAATTAAAGTAATATAAATGTATATATATATGTATGTATATATATATATATATATATATATATATTAGGGTGGTCCTTAATATGAACATTTTCGAATTTCCTTGCTCCCAAGGGCTCAAATGGTTCCAAATTGATAAAAAACAATTCTCTCAAAGTTTTGAGCTTTTAATATTGTCTTTTAGATAGTGAAATTCGATAATGTCCATATTAAGGACCATCCTAATATATATATATATATATATATATATATATATATATATAATACCGAAAATTTCCGAAAAACTTCTACATAGCATCAAGCAGAAATAATGAAAATAATACTCCTAACTAATAACATAGCATTAATACTTAACTGTATAACGAAGTTGATTTATTTCATTGTTAAAAACGTATATACAAAATGTAAAGCTTGTCGTATTATTTCGGGAGTAAATTTATTAACAATGTTGCATATACTCATATACTCACAACTTAATAATTGTACCAAAAATTTCTGAAAAAATACTTCTAACTAGCATCATACAAAAATAATGAAAAAAATACGTAACTGATAAATAAAATCCTAATTAACAACATAATATTAATACTTCACTGTATAGCGGAGCTGATTTCTCTCAATTGTAAAAAAAGCATAATACTTAATGTAAAGCTTGTCGTATTAAATCGGGAGTAAATTTATTACCAAAAGTGCATCTACAAATACTCGTATACTCACAACTTAATAATAAAGGCAACATCGGCAAATACAAAAAACTTATTGTACACGTAAAGCAATATCCAAAATTAAACAGCGTTTTCGAGGCATCATTTCCCATTCCATAGTATGTGCTTCCTAATAATAAAGCTAGGAAAATATATAATACTATTTTCAACCACATGTTGCCCTGAAAAGAAATAAACTATTAGTCAAAAAGAGTATTATTGCAACAGCTTAGTTTTATGAACCGAATTGATTTACCGGATTTCGATAATCTTGTAATACTTTTCTGCAAAATAGTATTTTGAACTGTTGCCAAAATGTAGTTCTCCTTTTGAAATATTCTGCTTTAAGTTCTTCGTTGAAATGCCGTTGTTTTGATCGTGTTGAAATATATTTATCTTGTTGTTCGTTTATTAATTCCATGTCTAAAGGCATCCACTTTTTTCTACGTCCATTTTCTATGGCGGCGACCATCCTTTCATTATGCTCTCCGTACTCACCACTTGAAACTTCTATCACTATAAAATTGAAAAAATAAAAAAAATTACAAATATACTAAATCGACAATTAATTAAACAGAAAACTTGCATGAAGAAGTTTTTTAAAAAAAAATATTGGTATCCATTTCATTTATTCATTAATGACCAGGAATGAAATTGCCTCTTACGACATAGTCCATTGAAAAAATGGTTTTAAAAAACACATATTTATTGTTAATTCAAAACAAACAACAATATCATAATAATGCTTTGAAAAAAACTAAATATTTAAATCAGTTTTTATTTTTAAGTTATTAAAAAAAATGTAACACTTTCACAAATCATGAATGAAAGCCATTAGTTTGGAAAATTTATAAGTAAAACCAACGGATTCTATTATAATGATAGGAATGAAATGTGCCAATTGATCAAAAGATATAATTGAATTTCGACGATGAAAGTTTATCAAAAATACGTTTAATTTAATGACTGATATAAAACTCAACTCGCAGATAGTCGATAAATATCAACTACAACATTTACGATTTACAATTCAACATATGAATTTGGTTAAGAAATTAAAGTTTAGATAGGTCAGCATTATCAAACAAAAACGACAATAAAAGTTTTTTATTGATTGAATAATGTTACTCAAATATCTATTTTCGCAACCGAATTTAAAAACTATCACAAATTTATTCACAATTTTTTGTATTTACTATTATGATGGGCATAAAAATTGCGAGGCCCTTTACACATTCCCAAGGTTTCTTAGGTTACTACAAGGTAAAAGGTTACATATATTTTTCTTAATTACCTTATGAAATAATTTACAAAATAAAAAAATGGTACGATTGTGTAAATATTACACATAAACATTATTCCAGAGTAGTTTGTGATAATTGCGCACTACTTCAGGTTCATTTCTAGCTTTTTTTACAATAATCTACAAACGAATCTTTATTTTTATTAAATACATTATAAACCAAATAAATAATGCTTGAAATAAATTAAAAACTGAACAACACGTATTAATAAAAATATGATTTAAATTTTGCTTCTAATCAGTCACCCAAATACATTAGTAAACTCATTGATAACAGAGAACTATCCAAGAAGATTGAAAAGAAAAGCGTCACTGGATTTAAGCCATCAACTCTCCTGATGAAAAATGGGAATGACTTAATCATTATTTATAAGAAATTATTCAATAAGTAAATAGTTGAAATTATATAATTATCAATAAAATATTGTGAATTTTATATCAAAAGGAAAACAACTACTGAGTTGTTTTTTCCAACATGCCCTTGTAGTATACAATGTCCCTTTTCGGCCGACTATTGTAAATTCATCAAATTTATTGAATATCCTTTATTGGACAGTTGTAAATAAAAGAAATAATAAAAAAAAGAAAAAAAAATGCTTCAAATATTTACAGCTAAATACTATCAAATTTGCCTGGTTTATTCATATGTTGCAAATCGAAATCTCATCAAATAGTATTAAGTTACATTGTGGTCAAATAACTCACTGCAATCAAATAGGTATGTAATGAAGCAATTAGTTCAAATAGTGAAAAATGAGTGGATGAATAAATATAAATAACAATACTCCTAATTGAATTAAAAAAACTTCAAGAATTGTTTCAAATATTAATTTGCAATCAGAAATGACATTTAAGAAGTTATTTTGGAATCAAATTCAGCTGAAATTGAATAAGGTAGTAGTAAATAATGAATAATATGTATGTAGCTGTACAAGATTGCTTGTGCAACTTTATTGTAAAATTCACGAATAAAATTGTATGTATATATGAATGTTTAATAGACAAATCTAAAACAAAGTAAAAAATTGCTTATCCCAATAACGTATAACAAGATTCACACTAAAACATAATGCTTATTTAGCTCAATATATGTGACGCGCATTCCTACGTTGAAAATTGAAACTTCATCAAGCGGATTCAAATTGCATGCTGGTTAATTAAATTCGCTTACCAAAATCAGCTGGGTTATAATGTATGGGGCAATGAAGTCCCAATGAGCTCAAATAGGGCACGATGTATTCGCCCGCGCCCTGGTAAATGCATTGACCGGCCGCTACAATGTAAACGTGGTCGAACATCGCAAACAATTTGGCCGACGGGGTGTGGATCGAACAAATCACAGTCCGGCCGCCCGATGCCACGTGTTTCAGGAGCTGGACGCACTGCGACGAGGCCATGTCGTCCAGGCCGCTGTATGGATAAATAATTACATTTATATTATTCTATCATGTAATATATGTATTTATTGTTAGACACTACGTGCATGGAACGTATGTATTATTCATAACAGCATTTATTATTACTAATAATTAATATATAAACTACGTAATATATTTGATTATTCATCCCTAACATAGTAATATAGTTCATCACAAACACGTGCATGGATATATTTCCTACTTACGAACGGTTTATTAAAACCACATATAACCTACGCAAAATATCCTATTATGTTCTCTTATAATTAGAATACTTATTATATAGTATTAACTCTGATATTTGCTCTTAACAAGTAAGATTGTTATTTTTAAAAAAAATATTAAAAACATAAAAAAATATATTATTTTAAAATGCCTTAAGCCGCCCTATTTAACAATGGCATGTAAAGCCTTAAAATACATAATAATCAATAAGGTAGTAAAGTTGATAGAGTAGAGGCACAGTTGATAGTCAGTTGTGGTCAGTCAAAATAAGGCACTTAGTAGAGTTAATAGTCAGTTGTTCTACAATAGCAGTTGTCTTGGTAATAATAACCATATCAAAAGCCTTGGTTTGTCAATACTGATCGGCGCTCCAAATATTATTTTACAATGCGCTAATAAAACCAATACGGACTTATGGCATACAATTGTGGGGCTTAATCGTGTTAGCAAATCTAACATTGTGCTACTGCAACGTGCCCAGTCTTAAATTTTGAGACCGATTGCTAATGCTCCATGGTTCAAAAGGTATAAGACCCTACACGATAATCTTAACATGGAATTTAATAATATATATCACATTAATTTATATGTGTGTTTAAAAGTGTGTGTTTATGTGGGTAAATGATAAAAGCCAAATAGCTCATAGGATTCTACTGTATTCTGATTGCTATTGAATATAAATAAAAAATAAAAAATAAAACATAATTTTGTGACAGCAGATCCGACATATTTTGTTGACAGCAGTAAGACATTATTTGGTGCCATCGGTAGTCCCAACAATATATACAGTGATGATAATATTTTATAATTATATTCTATTTGTGAAAATCAAAATATGTACTATGATATTAGTGTAAGTTCATAATAGTCATATTTTGAACATGTATGAAATATTTGCATTTAGTATTATTAGATTTTACTATATATGCAAACAAATTATGTCTTTAATGTAAATAAATGTTTATATATATATATATATATATATATATATATATATATATATATATGCCCGATTATTAGATATATATATATGCCCGATTATTAGACTTTGTTAACATATATATATATATATATCAACATACACATCATAAAACATTTTCTTATGTAATAGTATTAAAAATATTTCATTCGAAGCAAAAACTAACTACTTTTTTACATGTGTTTTATATTTTTGACGCACGTATTACTAAAATCTCATATATCCACAGTGCAATGACTCATATTTAAAGCAATTAAATATCGAGAAAAAAAATAAAGCATTTAACATATATATTAAAAAAATGTGAAAAGAAACTGATTGAAATGAAATGACGCATTTATTCCTTGCGTCAGCCTATGATATAACAAACAAAAAATATCAAATTGAAGGGTACAAGAAGTTTTGATAAGTCATTATTAAGTAAGGTATGTCAATTGAATTATGAATGTAGAATCACATGTTAATAGATAGAATCACTTGAAGATCATTAAAGACTACTACTCGTTGTGATATATTATAAATATTATAATATTACAAGTACATTTAAAATCTTATATTATAAAAACTGTGTAAGTAAGCCAAAATTTCAATTCAAATATTGTTGTCTCAAATGTAACTTCATCATTTTGTGCTTGTTTCAAACTATAAAAAAGTAGCGCAATTTTAATCAAACTTTTGTTAAATACAGAGTTCAAAAGACACCGACTTACAGGAAGTCCACGCACCTTACTTTCCGCAAAAAAGACTTATCTAAAAAACTGCAAGCTCATATAGTGACCGAGCACAATTATGTGTAGGTCATTAAGATTTAACCGACAGTTTGATTTTCCTAACTCATGGTTAAGTATCACGAAAGATAATAATTAAATTCTATTGTAAGATGAAACGACAGTTCTAAAGTTCAAGTACAAATTTCATGTACGCATGAACTTCCCTAAATGTGTAAATAATTTTACTTAATTGGAACGTAAGAACTGAGGTTCAGCAACATTTCAAATTATAAACAAAAACTTTTCAAATGTTTATTTCAGAAATAATAAATTATTTACAACTTTAATGAAATTTTATAATTTCAACTTTTTGTAGACATGTACATATAATATTTTGGGATGTTCGATAAACTGAATCTTTTCATCATAATAATGTCTGCAAAATCGTGAATACTTATGCTTCAATTTAATTCAGAGAAACGTTTTAGATAATTTCTACTTTACGGCCAGTTAGTTATTAATTATGAAGAAATGGCTGAGCCGATAGTCGTGTAAAACTAATCAAACGAATCCTTATAAAAGTTCATCACTTTTTTCTTAAATTTTTGATATCCACGCATCATTTAAGAGTTTTAAGTTTACTTCACGTGGAGCATCAACATAAAATCAATAAAATAACATACAAACTTTTTCATTCTGGGTTTCGATTTTCAATTTACAATAATTATTTAAAGAACATACAATTGCATCATTGTTGCACGTGCATTTAGCAACTCGCATTTTGTAACTTTCTTGTGTAAATTTATTTTAATTTCATTATCAGCTATTTTAAAAAATCTATTTTTAATAGAACTCACGTGGCCCTTAGTAAAATAATAAAGATTAACCGTCAATACTATATAAATCGCTCTTTATAAATGTTGTAATTGTTATAAAAGTTATAAAGAAAATTTTATATTGAGATTTTTGGTTTAAAATTGATTAATACAAACTCTAAATATCTAAAAAAGTAGTTTGGTGTACATGAAAATATGTGTATTAAAATAATTATGTTAATAAATCAAAATTGATATAACTATTAATATTTCCGTAATAAATATTGTAGTATAATTCATGCATCAGCAGTGGAATGCTGATGCGATTTTCATTCAATAATAAATGCATATGTATTCATTGAATTTTTGATTTACCTAATTAGCAAAGGTTATGGAAATTTATGAAATAAATGAATTCTATTTTTGCAATACGAATATCTTTACATTTTTTATATAAACAAATAAATCTATTGCTACTAATTATGTGCATCTCTATAAGCATCATGGAAACATGGATGTTTGCTCATAGCATCCACTATTGTCATTCACGTGTTTCATTATTATAACTTAATATGACTTTAATATGAAATTAATTTCATATAAAAATTTATGATTTTTTCTTATATTGATAACGAATTAGCTTAGTCATTCTTAATCTACAAGGTACTATAAAATCGAGAATATGAACTAGTTATATTCGATCTTTGCATGGATTGAGCAAATAGCCTATAATTTATGTAGCATCATTATATAACAAGTTCATTATATCAATTTTGAGTGACGTATTTTTTCAACATGTACATGTAATTCCAGGTATTGTACAATGAACAATACAAGTCCCTGGATACTGTTGGCAAGTAGAAATCAAGTTGTCAATTAATAAAATAATTGAAACTAACGGTGACTTTGAAAAAAATACTATATAAAAAACAAGGTCCAGGAGATAAACGTCCATGTTTGAAAATCTATAACAAAATCACTCTCTTTCGTTGTAGTTATTTGGGTTGTTGGCACTGTTGTTTAATGCACGAGACATTAATATAATTTGTAACTATACATTATAAGATGTATTGTTAATTTTAAGTTAGATTCAACATATGTTATCATATAACCCTCATAATATCTTACATGAGGGTTAGGTGAAAAGAAGTAAGGGCCTTTGTCAACAAAGTTATAAACAATAAAAACTAGCAAATAAAAATGTAAGTTTGATTAGGAAAAGCAACTTCACAGGAAATAAATAAAATGAATAGTTATTATAACTCAGTGGATGAATAATTTTGACAAAATACCATATCTAGAGTGTATGAGGATTTCACAAAAATGAAAGGTCAATAATTTAAGCAAACTATTCGTCTTATGTTTATTCATAAAACATTAATAATGTAACTGAACCAACAGAGATACAAAAAAAAAACAATCTAATCAACCTGAGACAATCACTGAGATTAAATTGTATTATGTCTATAAAAACAAAATAAAAATATTTCACGCCATTAGAAACACTTAAACAAATTAATTATAATTTGTAATAGTTTGTTAATTTGTAATTATAGAGTTAGTTAGTTTTAATTATATAATTACTCATAATTATATATCTATTGTAGTTAATTATATTACAAAAAACACATTTTTTATCTGATTCTCTAAATTTAAAAAAAAACGTTAATATTACTATTTTCTTTTTGTTTTTAATACCGGATCACAAATTTCTACTATCACTATGATATGAATAATTTTATATGAATATTTATAGTGTGTTATAATTTCTCTTCCTACTTGTTGCAAATTCTCTGATAATAAAAGCATTGTTATTTTTTTTTAAAACCGACTCGGAAAATTTTATCCAGCTGCGGACGCTGATAAAGTGTTTGTGATGCAAGTGAATATATTTAATTACAATTATGCAAATCTGCTTGAATATAAGTTATTATTAAATTCTAAATAAATAAATTTTAATTTACATTTGATATGTGGATAAAATTAGTTTAATCACGTGTTTATTGCATTGAAAAACTTCCAAATGCGCAAAATTGATCAGTATAATATTGATGAAACATTGTAAACAAATGGAAATTATATACCTGCATAGTCGTCATAATTTATATGTAACTTCTTATGTAACGATTCTTGAATATATCTATTGATTATCGTGTAAATATATTAAAAATAAAATAAGTGTATCACATACACATAGGTTAACTAACATAAAAAATTAAAAGAAATGTATATTATTAAAATACTCACGTTGTAGGTTCATCTAAGAAAATTACAGGTGGATTATTCACCATCTCAAGCGCAATGGAAAGTCTTTTACATTCTCCACCTGATAGTCTAGAAGTTGTTGTATTTCTTGTTTTGTTCAACCTCAGCATTGATAAGATTTCGGATATCTAAAATTTAAACAAAGAATTATAAAATATAACGAAAAAAATGCGATAAAGCTATGTAAAAAAAAACGTGTTCTTATAAAAAATAATTTTGATCAAAGTGTACAATTCTTGAGAAATATGCTGAAAATATTTCTACGTGAATTTAAGTTATTTTAAAAATAACATTCGCTTTCTTTCTTAATTGCAAATATTAGAAAATATTACAAAATATAAAATAATATTGAATTCTTCGTGTGTGTTTTTATTATTTCGCGTAAATTCCATTTTCAATCTGGCATGTTTTTCTTGGCATGTTGTTAATTAGATATTCAACTTGTGAATATAGTGAGTTTTTAGAAATCTTGTGAACAAACAACGCAAAACACCAAATATTGTGTTAATTAAAGTAAAATTTATATGATTATTATTAATATATTTATTATCTAATTATTATTAATATCATAAATAGAAGAATATGCTTTGAAATATAAATTCAATAAATCACATAATTACGAAAAAATCGTAATAAATGAAGCAAAATTTTCATCATCTCAGTGAAACCAGGTGGATATAGGTTACTGCACTTAAAACAAGTTGCTAGAACTTTTAGCTTTATAAACAAAAAATACAGAACCTTCAAAACATTTTACTGAAAATTTTAAAAATTGTACTGAATTTTTCAATTTCATTCATAATATAGTTTTTGTGCTATCTTGCATGTTTTTTGTATATGTACAATGTTTTTTGTATATATGTATTGATATTCAGTTTTTTCTGTGATAAAACTTATCCTAATAGAAGTTTACTCAAAACAAATTATTCTCAATGAAAATCTGAAATATTTGTGACATTCCTCTACAATCCCCTTATAAACTTCCCCTAAGCTAGAAACTTTTGAACCAAGTTATCCGAATAATATCTTGAAATATTATATTTAAGCGTCTTGGTGTAGAGTTTTCGCTCAGAGTTTTCATCGATTCAGAAGCTCAGATGATAAATGGACTTAATGGAATCTGATTAGTGAGTTTGTTACATAACTCTTCAGAGCGAGTTGAATGACTCGCAATAATACTTCAATTGAATTGAAGATGATGCATCTTACGACAATTCATTATCCATCCTTAGATAATACATAAATATAACACATAAAATAGATTCAAGTCGACCTGCTATATAAAACAAAAGTTCAACATAAATGTTACAAACATAAAATGTTTGTACTATTAGTGACAACAAATATTATGTTTTTTTAATAAATGATTAGAATTTTTGAATAAAATATCAGAAATAAAACAAATATCATTGAATTGAGCATAATGATTGAAATTTTTCACCTGATATTTTTTACATTATTTAATTATGAATTACAAGTTTTTAATATTTAAATTATTCAAAGTATTCAATATTTCATGTTCTGCAATATAACAATAATTTGTATTAAAGTATAGAAATATTTAATACGAAATTATTCTACTTACCAAGTGTTCCTTCTGTTCAGTACTAATTTCATTGCCCAATTTGAGATCTGCTGAAATTTTCATAGCTTCTGCAACTGTGAGTCGCGGCTGTAGTAAATCTTCTTGCATGATATACCGAGACATTTTGCGAAATAATCGAATATCTCGAGGAGATCCATTGACGAGTATAGAACCAGTAGCTTCGTATGCCCTGAAATAAAAAGATTTTTATGAATATTATATATGAAATATATTCTTAAATATTAAATTATTATAATTTATAGATTGCCTCAGTACAAAAATTAATACTACTTTAATCCAAATTAACTCTTCAATGCCGGTTGTTAATGCTCTGAGAAATTTCAAGAATTTGATTATTTATTTATGTAAATGATATTTTTATATACTAGTACAGAACTGAAATGTAGTCAAAAATCAATTCAAACTCGTAAAAAAATTCAAAAAATAAATTCGAATAAATAAACTATTTTCTGAAATATATGTTATAAAAATTTAAAATAATTAATACACATTACACCAAAAATGACAGGGAAAACTAAATATAAGCATTTCTTCAAATAAAATTATTATTATTTGAATATCAATTAAAATTAAAACGCCTATATATGCAAATGTGTTTAAATCTTAAAAAACAGTTTTATATTACAAACTAATTGATAATATTTTTTATAAATTACTTTATATACCTTCGGAATATATAAATTACTGTGGCAATAATTTGTCATAATCATTTGTCAATAAACAAAACAGGTCATCAATATAAGACACATTTTCTCGACGATTCATTGTAAAACAAGCTTGGATAAAATTATTCAGAATAAATTATGACAAACATACAAGATTAATTGGATTAGTTTCTAGACTAGATTATTATTATAAAATATCATGTTTAAAAAAAGTGAACATAAAAAAGTCGATTATTGATGTTGAATTATAATAATAAAAGAAAGAATACTGAAAAATTTTCACACAAATCGATTCATTCATTTTAGTAAATCTTTTTTTTTTAATTTATAAATAAAAAAATATATTAATAATATTAAAATTTACTTACTTGAAAAAGAAAATTTAATTAAGTTTTCTTGAAATCAATTTTTTTTAAAAAAAGATTTAGGTATTAGTATATTTGAACAACAGAGGTTTCCAAAAACGTACACTTCTGAAAATTAAAAATTAAAAAAATGTAGTTATTTAAAAAAGCGAAATATTTTAATATATTAAGTATCATGTTTAAAAAAAGTGAACAAAAACCAAAAATCTTGATGACCCGTATTTAAAGATTTAGACGTTTCTAAAATAAAATAAAAATGGTAAGTTCTAGTAAATAAATTTTTAAACACATTGCACATTGAAACTCTACATATTCAATTGGCATTTGACATTAATTGGCAGAAAAAAATAGTCATATTGAAGATTTTGAGCAAAATGTGCTTATGCTGACTTACTAGCGTAGTCAGCATGAAAGCAGTTATAAAATAAGATTAATTAAAAATTTTCATTATTATAAGTTTAGACACCTATCAGCATCTATCATAGTGCCAAGTTTCATCAAAATCCCAGAGGAGCAATAGAAGGATTTTCCTTGTTAGTACTATTTCTTGAACAACGAACAAATAGTTTTTCACGCAACTTATACAAATTCTTTTTAAACAATCCAAATCTGTTGTTCACAAAACGTTTGAACACCAAAATACATTTTACATCCCTAATTAATTGATTTGGTTTTACTAGATTATGTCCGAATGACAAGATCTGAAAAACTTTATAAGATTTGAGTCAATTTTATGTTAGTAAGTTGTCCTACAAAGAAATACCAATTTCTCAAATATAATATTATAAACCCTCAGTATAGAAGTGATTTGTACTCTTGTCACCCTCGTACTATCTTTTCATCAGTTTGCAAATCTGATTGCAAATCGTGAATGTATTTTCACACCCATACGAATATGCGTTGAAAGGTTGACATTGTGCAAATGAGTTTTGGCTGAATCTTTCCAGCACTTTGAGATTGAATTCTACGATAACCCATTTCGCATATATGGCAATGTAGGTGATAGATGTTTTCGCAACAAAACATTTGAAATAAATCATTGTAAAATTTTATTAAAACTCATATAGAGACCGGTAAACTCTGAACTATGGAAAAGTTTCATTGTCGGACCGTTGCTCAATTTCGTATCACAATATTATTTTGAAATTATTCAACCGAAACTTTTATATGCGACCTGAAATGAAATAGTAAATTGCATGATATGTTATGATTCCTCTTTTTTCATATTGTAAATGTCTAGTTTATATAGGATGTTGAAATGCATTTATTATTAACATAATTATTGGTGAATGCAATGGAGTAGTTGGAAATTTTACTTGCATTATGTTACGTAAAAAGCTCATGGTTATGTATTATCCATGCGTTTCAGTATAAAATAGGCGAACAAATTACTCTAACTTGAAAATTGCACATAATCGCTACAAAATGAAGAAATAAAGCTATTTATATATTAGCAAAGAGAAAGAAACATGCACTTATGTTCATTTTGTGTATTTATGTAATAAGTAACAACTACTAGATAAGAAATACGATTGTAACATCTTTAATATTGTTAGAAAAAAATGTAGAAATACAGATAAAAGCTCAACCTTTTCTCATTTAGAAAATAGCAAACCCTAAACAGATATTTTAAATTGAAAATTAGACATATTTCCATAGAAGCTTCAGTACATTAATCAAAACCATTGAAAACACAGGTAAATATTATCACTTGCAAGAGCTATTTTTTTAGGGAAAACTTATTGAATATAAAATTGGCAACATTGGAATTCGGTTTTATTCACATATTGTATTTTTAAACTTCGTATGGTAATAACATGAAAAATTTTTTGAAAATTAAAAAAAAAAAAAATTTTAGGGGTAACTTAGCGACAAATTTTGAATGAAACTCATTCATTTGTTCGCTAAATTATATCTAAAAACATTTTTGAAATTTTGGAAAAATTTTTCATTCCATTTCTAAAAGACAATATTAAGAGCTAAAACTTTCAGAGAATTGTTTTTTATCAATTTGGAACCATTTGAGCTCTTGGGAGCAAGGAAATTCGGAAATGTCCATATTAAGAACCACCCTAATATATATATATATATATATATATATATATTTATATATATTACCCTAATATGTATATATATATATATATATATTTATATATATACATTTATAATATTATATAAATATATATAATATATTATATATTTATAAATATATATATATATATATATATATATATATAATATTTATATAATTTTGGCAACAATGTTTGATTACGATCAATTATCGTATAAAACATTATTTTACAAATGAAAAATGAATATACATACTTAATATTCATGCTATTATTTCTGAAAAAGTATAACTATTGGCAAGGTGTCGAACTATGTATAGATATATTATATATATATATATATATATATATATATATATGCAATTATATATTAATACATACACATTTCGCGAGTACTTTGCGAAAACCATCAAATGAAGCCAATGTAAGTGAAAACATTAATAACATTAAATATTTTATAGATTTAGAAACTCAATTTTATAGCTTGTATTTTACACCAATGGGAATAAATATAATATTATTCTAGTCATATATATGGCATAATCAATCAATTCTATGCTTCACAGAGTGCAGAAGGTCCATGACCCACATGCCAGATTAGCATAAGAATATGACACCTATTGTTGGGCACTTTAATATTGTATTGTTAGAAATAATAAAGTAAAAAATATCGCACATTTTCAAGATGATTTGGCGAACGTCCCTCAAACGAAAATATTATATTAACACTTCGAATGATTCCGGAAATTTGCAAAAAAATATGAATTATGAATTCAAATTGAGTAAATATATATTGTAGGACAAAAGTGTTTTTGATATCATATATTTTCAACATATAGGTATCTAATTTCCACTATAACTTTTTTAGTAATTCAATAAAGACCGCATTTATAAATAAAAAAACTGCAAAATGCCAACACCAATCACTATTATTATTATATTTTTCGCATTTGACACCCGAACGGACAGCTTCTTTGAGTTAATAGTTTTGTTTATAAGATATAATACTTTTAAATTGAGATTTGTTTAAATTTAAATTTAAAAGAGTTTTTAGTATTATATAATCATAAGGTTTAATTAACTTTTAGTCAACGAGAATATTCGTTTGACCCTTTCTATATTAATACTGTTTCTTACTGAATATATTTGAAGTAGTTGTAATTGACGTAATTTCATAATTACATAACTATTGCAATATGTACTATAATTAACTCTATAATTCAATTCAGAAATAAATAATAAATAAACAAGCAATAAAAAAAAACTTGGTTGGAATATCAATCAAGTGTTAATTGAAGATGTGTAGGTAAATAAGAAGTAAAATATAGTGAAGAAAATAAAATTTTAAGTAAGGCTCTTTAAAAATTTGGAAAATCTAATTTGTGATCGTTTGAAAACAGTATTTTATGTATTTGTGAAGAAAGAATTTATGTATTTATAAAAAACATATAATCGTCTAGCTATGTCTCACTTGGCAGTCAAAGTGTTTCTGCATGCGTCAATATATGTTTTATGCATAAAGTATAATTCTTATGTATATTTATATTTTATGGTGTTGTTATTTGTTTTATTGCCAATTCTAAGGTAATAATATATATTAAGCGTTGAAAATGCGGAAATGTGTTTTTACAATTGTGAAAGAATCTAATGCGAGAATTTTAAATTATCTTAAATCTAATTTAGAATTAGACAAGCTTTAATGGTTTTATGATGTTAATGAAATAGAAACTTATGTGATTAAATAATTACCAACTGGACAGGATGCAATTGAAAAATTATAGTAGTTTGTTATAGAGGATAATAAAAATAAATCATTCAAATATATTTTAATACACGATAAGAATTATAAAACCTCATCCTTCATGTATTTGCAAACCCTCAAACATTAAACTTTTTTTCTAAAAAACTATTTTTCTTGAACCCGATTCAAACAAATCTCAGGTCAACAAAACTGATTGGACAAAAATGTAATGGGATGTCGCTTAGATCCACAAAACCAATCAGAAAAATAACTTTAAAATATAGAAAAACTCTGTAAATCAGTAATATCTCAAACATCATCTGAGTAACAAGTATAGAATTAACATTCAAACTTGTGAACATAAAAAAACAGCATTGGTTATTTTCTTAGATTTCTAGGGTGGTAGCATTCCTGCGATCCTACAATCAATCCTGTCACTCTATTTCGGCTTAATGACGAGTTCTGTTTCACCCTGCTATATATATATATATATATATATATATATATATATAATATATATAATATTTTTTTCCTAGCCATATATATAATAATACTTTTTTTAGCGACATCTATTTTTTAACCGGGCCCTATTCCTTATTTTTCTTTTTTGATATTTCATGACTCACCTAGTTGACCTTGGATAGAGAATTCAGACTCCGACGATCGTTGGTAATGCAGTAAAAGGAATGACTTGTAACGGATAACACATAATGCTAATTTAGATTTCCATATTTTAGATTTTAAATTATAACACACTGATGATGAAACAAACCTAGTCTCGAAACGTTTGTAAAATTATTATTTAATAAACTAGTGCAAAAAAGAGTGTGGTTTGTTCATATTTCTAAATTAATATATATATATATATATATATATATATATATATATATATATATATAAATATAAATGTATTTGCTTGAGGCAAAAATGTGATTTCAATTTTCTACGGTACATACTTGTATCCAGCCAATATGTTTAGCAAAGTACTTTTGCCCGCTCCAGATATTCCCATGATAGCTGTCAACTCCCCAGAACGAAAGCATCCGCTTACTCCTCGCAAAATACTTTTCTGACCTGAAAAATGAAAATGTATTTTAAAAACATTTTTAAAATTTATATCAAAATAATTGGAATAAATAAAGTTATTGTTTTCGACTCATTCTTCAATGAGATATTATAGAATAATAACATCACATTGGTTTATTGTAAATATTATTATAAATTTTAGAGTACAATAAATCAATTTTTATTATTTTAAATTTTATCAAATTATGTCTATTCGTTTTTTCATCCTACTAGTTGAAACTATATTTAATTAACAACTCTAACCTGCATCAGAGAAACAAAATTAGAAAAATAATATTAATGAAATATGCTTATATATTCGTTGAAAATAAAATTCTTGACAGATTTTTTATTTTTTTTTGCTTTCATCAACATTCATTACATTCGTAAATAATAATAAAACTTTATGCATCAATAATAAACTGTAAGATTTGAAATAGTGTAAAATTGTTTTTATTTCAAATATACAACAACAGATAGATATGACGTACAAAAACAAGAGTCTTACGCATTAGCTGAAAGTTCAGTAGGTATGTTTATAATTTCAAAATCATTTGTTATTTATAAAAATACAATTTATGATAATAAAAAAATATTGAACAAATTTTATTCAAATTTTTAAAAGAATATTTACCAATGTGCTGCTCTTGCAATCCAAAAGTGTCAATTTTAGGATTGTTTTCTATTTTGTAAAACTTTGTTAGTTTCGTATTTTGTTAAACGTTAAAAATTATAACTAAAAATAAAACTATATCAAAATCATGTTGAACTATTTAGAAACATTTATATTTTTTTAGCATCGAAAATGCAATTGCTTACTATCATGCAATAATTCAAAATTCTTAAAATATTACTATAATAATAATAAATAACTTTTTATAGAGTTCTTGTATATTATTTAGAAACATTTACATTTTCTTAGCATCGACGGTTAATGATTATTTATAGAGTTTCTGTATATTGTTGCTAATAGCAAAAAAGTAGATTATAGAGCAATAAAATGATTAAATTTATCAGTTTCCTCATAACTTTAAAAAGTTTATGGAAGTGACTCATGATTTCAAATATTAAAAACTTATCTATCTAAAAATTGAGAAAAAATGCCATTCCTTAATTACACCTTCAAATATAGCTACCAATTTTTTAGAAAAAAAACATAAAAATATGATTTTTGATTATTTTTAGGAGAATTTAATTCATACAACTCTATTACTCTACTTATTGCTAATTATTAAATATAATTATTAAATATTCTCAATCAATAGAAAACATAAATGCTCTTTAATTTAAGATCCCAATTGAATTTAACAAATAAAATATTTACTCATAAGACATTTATATAGATAGATCATTTAATATATTGCATTTATAAAATTAATTAATATTAAGTATTTGAAAGATAAGGTATAAATATGGCTTTCATTATCAACAAGGCCGTTGAGATCAAATCATCCAAATTTGGCATAATCTTAGACTACGATATAATTTGGTCACAAATAAAAGACGTCACAAGAAAATATCAAATAGTAATCTTCTAAGAATATTGAATTATTGCATGATAGTAAGCAATTGCATTTTCATCAAAGAGTTTTTTTTATGAGTTATAGAGCAGAATATATGACCGTTGTTCCTATATGAGTCACCGCAAATTATGATTGTTTTATTAGTCATGTTATTTCTTCATATTAATGATATAGTGCATTTTAAATGCAAATTTAATAGAATAGTTTTTTATTACTAGTAACAATAGATATTTTTAAATCGAGGTTGAAACGTCCATCGCGGCTAGAACTTCAAATAAAGGAACTATACATAATAATAAAAAACAAATGAGTAAATAACAATAATATTCATAACTAGAACGATACTAATTGGGCTACATATCCGTAGATTTTCTGCAATTTGAAACGCCATAACAAATAATAAATACCTTTATCAAATAGTTTTTTTAGGTACACAAATTATATTAACGCTATTAGCATTGAATATGCTTGGTATCTGAAGAGCTAAAACGCAAACTGTTTATTAAATTAATTATATTTTTAAGTAATAATAATAATGAATGCTTTGTTCAAGAACAAGGACATAAACCAATTTAATACAGTGCGATGATTTCCCTATATTCAATTGGAAACTATAATTTTGAACTCTATGTTCGAGTGATTACCAGATTATTCAAAGTCAGAAAAAGTCTGGAAAATTAATACGTTGTAATCACAAAACAGATTTTTAGTATTTGAGAGACTTGTACTATACTCCAAAACTATTTTTTAGAAATCTGAACTACCAATGTTAAAATTTCTAATGAAGATGAGGACTCATCGTTGAAGACATGGAAAAGAATCTTATGTGATTCTAACCAGACTGGTCTAAACTATATTATATTCATAACAAATAATTCTGAACCGTAATTTGTTTTATCATTTTTTGTGTCTAGTTGTTAGTAATAGTTTTTAATTAGAATCATTTATAAATTTTTCTTTTCAATTTAGATTTTCTGCGGTACTAATATTCATACAATCACTGGATTGCAAGCAGTTATAAGATAAAAGGCTTGACATTGATAATAATCGTCCTTGATAATAACCCAAATATTTAATATCAGCTTTACTTACAAAGATAACATTAGTAAGATTTAATTACATCTCATGATGTTTATAAATAACAAAGACAACAATACGCATCAGAATAATATCACTAAAACTCAGAAATGGTAAATCAATGCATTTTTTAACCCAACGTAAAATTAACTAGTGGGGTGGGTGGCATCGTGCCTTAAGGCAAATTGCTGGAACTTCCCGTACCGTAACGAAATGTTCGAGGAATACTAAATGTTTTAAAATAGATTATTATAAATATTGTAACAATGTCTAATATTTAGAAGAATTATTGATAAGAAACTGAATTGCAGAGTTGAAATTATTTGTTTAAAGTATATTAGAACTATAGTCAGAATTAAAAATAAAATCTGAATTATTTTCGATATACCAATAATTAAAAAAAAAAATTGAAACATTTTTTTTCCAAAATCAATTATTTTGTTAAGACAAGCAGAAAGTTCTTTGAATCAATTGAATCGGACGCTTAGTTACTCTCAAAAACTGCCATTTTTTGTACATTTAGCTCCGTATCTTCGACATGGCTGGGCCTGCCTTTGCGTAAGACTAATAACCATTTCTCCCAGTCATTACCAATTGAATGTTTTTTAGATCATTCAAATCGGATGCTCAGTTCTCTCAAAAACTCGATATCTATTTTCTGCACTCTTTGCTCTTTATCTCCGTAACTGCTAGACCTGCCTTTGCCAAAAACTAATCAGCACATCTCCTTATCAATAGGAATCGAATGTTTTTTAACCATTCAAATCGGTTGATCCGTACGCCCGAAAATGTGGGCGAAAAATTGTATCCATGCATACATACACACACACACATCCATTTTTTCTGAAGTATGCCAAAATGTTCAGAAATTTTCAAAACGTCGAGAAATGTGAAAATTTTCAATTCCGATTTTCGGCCCATTACAATAACTTACCCTACGGGAAATTAATAAATAATGGATCATAGCACAAATAATTAATAAATATAAAAAATAATAATTATTATTATATTTCAAAAAGTATGTTGTTCACTGCAGTTGTATTTTAATCAAATATGTAAAAACTGAATTGAATATTTTTTCAAAGACTAATTTACATAGTTCTATAGTCATCAATCAATTCAGATATATATTTTGATTTATATTACATTTGTTTTATGAACTAACAACTATTAATGTGCGGTTAAATGCAGTAATAAAAAACAAATCAGACTATTGACTATTTTTTTAGTCTTTTTATTAATATATATTAGGATGAGTTCAGACTGTTTAAATATTCATTGTCTAACAATTTGATTGTCTCAGATTCATTAAAATCCGTTTATGCAAATATATGAGTCGCTAAGTTTACGATTTTTTGTGCAGCGATGATTCATTTGTGTATGAATAAATTATAATTTTATTTTAAAAATTTGTATATTTAGATATAGAAATTCCGTAAATTTTTTATCTTGTATATTTATATTGACTATATATCTTCAAAATGATTTTTAAAAATCAAAACAAACCATAACAAAATCATAACTTTTGCCAAGAAATAATACTGTGTAGTAAAAATAAATTAAAAGTTATATATCAGATGCAACTTTTTATAATTTAAAAAGCATCAATATAAATATTAAAAATATTCAAATATATTTAATGAATATTTTACGAAATTAGCCAATAATTGTAATGTAGGCAGATCTCCAATTTTTTTTTGAATACTAATATATTTCCTTCAAATAATTCCAAAATATAAATCAATATACATCAGGTAAAACAAAAGTGCTGAGTCGAGTGCATTTTAAAACAACTTAAATTCAATATTTGCAAAAAACAACGTGCACCCAGACACAAAACAAATTAAAACATATTCATTTGCTATTCCGATTATTTATGTTGATGTATAATTTTGCAGACAGGAATATTAACATAGCTAATACCATTTAAAATTGCCTTCTGGAAACGTAGTTTGTAATAAGAAGTCATATAAAAATGGAAGCTTAATCTAAAATCAAGGAATGATTTTATTTTATTGAAATTATGAATGTCAGATACTATGAATATTATAAATTAATATAATATGATATATATATATATATATATATATATATATATATATAAATAATATAATATATATTTCAATTGAAGTTTTGCAAATACACATATAATATCTGTAATTGTATAAATTGAACAAAAAAATGTTTTAACGCGTTCTATTTCATTCATTTCTGGTTCTAAAAATGTATTTTCTTTCATTAAAGACATAAACTGTAATCAGTAGCTACCTACGAAACACTCCAGAAAGTATATAGGCTTCGGCATAGATTCTGATTAGAATCACCCACAAGCGATTTCTTTGGTGACTTTTTATAATTCAACCGCTTACCTTAGGCTCATAATATTTTAGTATGTTATTTAAGACAAAA